AGATAAGAAAAAGAGTGAAGCATTTATACAAAGTAGACAATATGGACAATTATTGTACAAGTATTGTGTATTATTATTGTTACTTTAGCCAATGCTAGATATTGGGGAAATAATAAAACTACAAAAAACCAGAAATAGTGGTTCATTATTATTTAGCTATCAATTATCCTAGAATGAACGACATAGTTTATTGTTGTTCATAAGTGTGTGTGTGTGGGTGCAAAAACATTTTTATAGGAGTACTTTACAAGCTAGCATTATAGGAAACACACATGTATCCATTAATGGCTAAAACTTGAACTTAAGTGGAGCATTGAAATAAACAGAACTATACAATATGCAAAATGGTTTTTGAATTGAGCAACAAAGCATCATGGTAATTGTTTTGTAGCACTGATGATTGTATAAAATCAGTTTCATTAGTCGCAAGTCATATTTCTATATAGTATTTGCTACATTGATAAGGTTTTAGTTGTGATATCTACACTCCTTGTTTATTTATTTTGATACATGCATGTCACCATGTACAACTTTACACGAGTTGCGCTTTTTCTCCATTTGTAGTTAGTTCATGACAGGTACAATAGTCATATTTCTGTAGTATTACACAGCACATTTCTATTTATTCATTTATGTTTATTTACATGTATTTATAGAATGTGACATGCATCATGGCAAACTTTGAGTTTTGCCTTGTGAGCATTTTTACAAGCATCAGTCCACCTTTTTCAGTGTCTTTAGCTACATGTAGATTTATGTGTATCAAACTTTGTTATATATATGTGTACCTTAATAGGTCCATAAGAACTTTGTTGTGAGTACTATTTCTACAAAGTTGACTATCTCTACAATCTTGTTTTTAAGTTACTGTATTATTCCATGAGGTTGTAATCATAAATTGTTTATAATTTTAGTTTTTTAATAACAATTTTTATTGTTACTATAAAAGGTTAATTCAGTAATGTTGTAAACAAGTTCTCAATGGCTGTACACTACAAATTAGAGCAACAGAGTGGACCAGCAAGGCACATAATTGTACATTAGATTTTTAACAAAAAACTATAACTAAAGCAGTTAACCAGCATGCTAAGAGAGAAAGACATGCTTACATGTATGTAACATTATGACTATGGTATAACTACCCAAAGATATGCCTACATGTATGTGCATGTAACAACATGACTATGGTATAACTTTATTGTCCTAACAGTACTGAAAATGTCTTAAAAATGACTTTAAATCACATCATCAATATATCCCTTTTGATTCTTACAAATCTCCAGCTTAATGTAAGAACATTTTATCAAATTAAGATTTTTCACAGTTTAATGGAATCGTGCACTATCATCAGACATATCGAGATAAAAGAGCAAAAAAGATTAAAGGAAACAAAAAAAAGAGAGCAGAGCTGTCATGCAAAATAGACAACATGGACAAATAATATACAAGTATAGAAAATTATCATTATTTCATTTGATGCAACTATTCACTTTAGTAAGCAAATTTCTAGATATTGAGTGAATAAAACTACATCAAACAACAGAAATAGTAATTTATCATTGTTCTAACTATCATTTATCGTAACATTAAAGACAGAACTCATATAGATAAGTGTGTCCGCAAAAAAAATTTTTACAGGAAAAGTACTTTACAAGCTTGGAATAATAGGAAGCAAACACGCATTTAATAAATGGCTATTACTTAAACTTAAAGAGCATTGAAAAAATCAAAACTATACAACATGTAAAACAAGAAACAATTATATAGTGTCTTGCATGACTCACATAATTTGTATATCTTGAGAGATATTCATCTACGTTAAAATAGAATTACTTGCTTTACTTTTCATGGAATTAATTTGGCTAACTGCAAGAGCGAGGGACAAATACATTAAATGATAGGTACATACATAATTCATTATGCAACTTAAAGAAATCTTTTCTTTTTGTCTTTCAGCTTAACTTATTCCTAAATCTTGTTTTGTAGACATTTCATGCTCAAAAATAAGTAAACGTTCCGTGTTTAATTGTGTACTATTATCTCACTAATTGATCGAGTAATGACTAAAGAGACTTCAGATACAGTATCTAGATGAGTTATTCTGGGTCTTTGGCCCATTATCTTGTCATTGCGAAGCATACTTTTGCTATTACAAGGGATGAATTAAGGCCTAGTCAGGTTAGTCGCCCATAGTGGCCTTAGAAAATAACAGCTGGAGTATACTAGTATCCGGATTTCTCCCGTTTCTAGGGTAAATAGCTTGATTTTCACAGAGCGAAACTTTCTTATCTCTTTCTGATATCTATGCAGACAGGGTGCATGTTTTATCCCATTTCTCTGTTTTCCTGGAGAGAACATGCATAAAACCTACAGTATACCTGGAGTAGGACGTACATCGGGCATTTATAAAGTCAACCTGTCGCGTTTTTGTGTTTTTTATGCCTTCTTTACCATGTAAAGCAATGCAGAAAGAAAGGGGCACAGTCTTAAGGTTGGTATACTGCTCATAGATGCAGTGGATTGCAAGTCACTTGACCCGCGCAGCACATTATTAAAATGAATGATTATTGGTTATAACTGTTATACAGCGCCAATTTCAAATAGAAAACAACAATCATATATGGAACCATTGAGAACCAGTCCTTACAGCAACGATATCAGGTTGAAAATTGTTTGTGAAAATTGTTTATAAGAATAAAGGACTGAGGTTTTCAAACTTAAAAAAATTACATATTGACGTATCAACTGTCACAACAGTAATTAACAAATTCAGGAGCACTGATCTGTACAAAAAAGCACCCTATGCAATAGATCATCATCAAAACTCAGTGCTATATTTCAGCATTATATTATGGACCTTGTTATTACCAATCCTGGCATTTATTTACATGAAATTCAAGCTAAAGTTGCAGAAAAATATATTGTAAATGTAGACTGCTCCACCGTTTGCAGATTCTTTCACAAGTCAGGATTTTTGTATAAGAAACTGGAAATTGTGGCTAAGCAAAGAAATGAGTTGCAGAGATTGGAGCACTGTCGAGATGCATCTCTTCATCAAGCTCACTCCTTGATATTTGTTTATGTAACGGGATGCAATCGACGAGATTTAATTAGGAGGAAAGTTTATAGTATTAAAAAAAGCCCCTACAATAAACTCAACTTCTAGATAGGGGGAGGCATGTATCAGTTATTGCTGCTAAATCAATGAAAGGCCTTCTTGATTTAAAATTTTGCAAAGGTTTCAGCAGTGATACATTCATTGATTTTGTTTGTGAAAACTTATCAATACAAGTGCATCCCTTTGATAGTGATAACACTCATTCAGTAGTATTTTTAGACAACTGCAGTATTCATCACACTACAAAATCTGTTAAGGAATTACAGCATAATGGATCTCTAGTTCTTTTTCTTCCACCATACTCACTTGACTTCAACCCCATTCAGAACATTTTTGGCAAAGTCAAGATATCAATTGAGTTATTAAAAGCAATTGACCCATACACAGACATTGAAGACATAATTCTCCAAGCTTTTGCCACAATAACATAAGAAGACTGTACAAAATCAATTTCAAGTTTAGGTATAGACAAAGAATGAGCTATACATGATCATACATATTGACACTCATATCACATTGTTTCCACACACTGTCCACAATCACTTGAGCTTCCTTACACTAGATAAAATTATATCTTTTCTTCTGTTCATCATACTCAATCTGCTTAAAATATCTTCATTACACAATCATTAGATTTGTTGGAGCTGTAGTATATACCTACTATGACTTTCAGCAACCGGATTGGGTGACAAAACTGGGTCAGAATGCTTATGTGAAAGACTTTTAGCAACTTTAAACTGTGGTAAGTCAGAGTGATCTTCCAAATTGTCACGTGTTGCAGGTAGTTCTTGAGATTGCCTTGCAGAATGTGGTACTTCGATCTCCATTGCGAGGTCTGGTTGATCATCTACACCTGGAATTGATTGTCGAGATGATCCTGTTGGTCGAGGTGCATCAGAAAGTGGGGCAGGTTACGTCTTTACATTCATATCTGCAAAACGATTTTATCTTTTCGTAAAAGAACCATATCCTTTCAGTGAAGACACCCTTTGGTGGTAATATATTAGGTAATTCATCTTCCATTATTTGAGTGTCCTCCTTCAGCAAATTGAATTGTGTGACAGGGCCATCTACAGCTTGACTGGCTGCAACTTGACCAGGTGAGGTCGCATTTACAACAAAGTGTTGAAAGCCTTTGATGCCTTTTACTTGAATAATGTAGCAAAGTAACTAGACCAGTCAAATGTTTCTACAATGACTTCACCATTGCTACTTCCTATTGGTTGGGCTTTGTTCACAGCAGATGATTGTTTCATAACTTAAACGAAGTCATCCATTGAGTTCACCTCTGCTTTATGGAATTTTTGCTTTAATAGTCTGAAGCACTAGTCTTGAGAAAATTTTGTGTCCAACTTGCAGAAAGGATATTGAAATGGGCGTATGAGTCCTGTCATGACTCTCCATACGAGGTACTAAAAAAATAATTACATTTAAAATGTTCATTATTGTGCATGTATTATACTTACTAAAATAACTGTATTATTCTTATTTTGCCCAGTGCAGTTGTCAGCATTGAAATGGATATTGACTGAGTTGAGGCCATGATTCCTTAAACAAAAGTGTACCATGCTTATGACAGGATTTGCCCCTTTACCAGTGTTGAATGATTTATCAATCAAGAAATTATCCTTCTGAGGGATAGCTTCACAGCACACCAAATATGTCACATTTCCTGGGAGTAAGAAAATAAATTGGACCTGCTTGTAGTGGGACTTGAAGGATAGTGAACAAGTAAGCTAGATAAACTTTAATATCATAAAATTTTACCTGTTGAGTATAATCAAAGCTATAATGTGCTACAATATTTAACATAGCCAGTGGCCTTGTTAGTGACGGATTGTAATTGTTTGCTGCATCAGTATACAGCCCTTTTAAAAAAAATTGTGTGTGCCTCTTTTAATGCATCCTTATAGTACTCACTTTCCTTTTTAATAAGACTTCTGTGATCTAATGCCTTCTGCATTGCCTGAATATTCTGGTTATAATACTTGTGTTAGTACAGTACTGACTTACCTCAGTTATCCTATTATCTGATTGCATTTTAGCACTACTTATAATCAGTCCACTTATCTCTTTACAAGTGGCACACAAGTCAGACATAGGCTTCATTTTTTCAGTATAAGGCAGGTAGCGCTGCCACAACATGTTGAATGTTGTTTCAGCACATGCTTTGACATGAAGCCCTTCACATGATTCCGCATACTCTAAGTATACCTGACTTTTAGATGTACTGCATGGTAAGAACTTCTTAGTCTCGTAACTTTTAAATCCAGGTATTTTTCTAGGAAGACTGATGCTATGGACTTCAGAGTATTTTCTGATGAAAACAAGAACCCGGAGAATATCATCGTAAGTAAAAGCATGGTTTGGTGTCTTTCCAGCATTTCCATGAGCCATACTAAAGTAAAGTAAATAACATTTAATTTGTAAGTCTCATACCTTGGTATTAATCCATTCATTTTGTAGTTTTTCATAATTTCCTCAAACATGCTTTTGCCACTTGCATGTAGCTTCAGAAATGTTACTCTACATATCAAGTTGAAAAACATAATTAATTTTGTGTTGTGTCACTCATAGTTACAAACCTTATGACCTTGATGCATGAACGTAAAAAATTGCCTTTTTCTTTCTTTCTGTCTCCTGTGGTTGCCATTGGACAATCCCCACATGGTAGATATTGCTGCCATTTGACTTCTAATAGGAATTTCTTGAACAAGCTTTCCCAGGAAAAAAATCTTACTAAGATCTTGAATAATCTGATCAGATGAGATAAGGTGAGATAAGGTGAGATAAGAGTTAAGAACAACCTTATAAGATCTTATTTGGATTTAGTCTGATCAATCTTAGCTATCATATACAGGCATAGTCTTACTTAAGATCTTACAAGAATTGTCTTACAATATCACTGATAGGATTTATAGGCCGGATCTTACTTAAGATCTTACAAGAATTATCTTATAATATCACTGATAAGATTTATAGGCATAATCTTACTTAAGATCTTACATGAATTATCTTACAATATCACTGATAAGATTTATAGGCTGGATCTTACTTAAGATCTTACATGAATTATCTTAACAATATCACTGATAAGATTTATAGGCCGGATCTTACTTAAGATCTTACATGAATTATCTTACAATATCACTGATAAGATTTATAGGCTGAATCTTACTTAAGATCTTACATAAATTATCTTACAATATCACTGATAAGATTTATAGGCCGGATCTTACTTAAGATCTTACATGAATTATCTTAACAATATCACTGATAAGATTTATAGGCCGAATCTTACTTAAGATCTTACATGAATTATCTTACAATATCACTGATAAGATTTATAGGCCAGATCTTACTTAAGATCTTACATGAATTATCCTACAATATCACTGATAAGATTTATAGACCAGATCTTACTTAAGATCTTACATGAATTATCTTACAATATCACTGATAAAATTTTTAGGCTGAATCTTACTTAAGATCTTACATAAATTATCTTACAATTTTACTGATAAGATTTACAGGTCGGATCTTATTTAAGATCTTACATGAATTATCTTACAATATCACTGATAAGATTTACAGGCCGGATCTTACTTAAGATCTTACATGAATTATCGTACCATATCACATCATAATAAGTCATGCAAGATCTTGAAAGATCTTACAAGTTGCATGACGTCACAGGAAGTAGTTGACAACCCACGATAGCCTTTACAAAAGTATGAGCATATAAAGAAAGCCAACTTCTAACAACATTAAAGTTAATTAAGTCACCATTATCACACAACATTGTAGTATGCATTAATGCATTGTAAGATCTTGATCAGATCAGTCATTTTAATTATAAGGGATGTGACAAAATCCCATTTAATAAATCATAACTAAACTCTTTAAGATCTTGAAAGATCATACAAGATTTATACCTGATCTTAACTGATAATATAAGATTTAGTTCCTGATCTTGAAAGACTATGCAAGATTTAGTTCTTAATCTTGACTGATAAGTCAAAATAATGTAAGATTTATTGCCTGATCTTGAAAGATCATACAAGATTTATACCTGATCTTGACTGATAATGTAAGATTTATTGCCTGATCTTGAAAGATCATACAAGATTTATACCTGATCTTGACTGATAATGTAAGATTTATTGCCTGATCTTGAAAGATCATACAAGATTTATACCTGATCTTGACTGATAATGTAAGATTTAATTCCTGATCTTGAAAGACTATGCAAGATTGAGTTCTTAATCTTGACTGATAAGTCAAGATAATGTAAGATTTATTGCCTGATCTTGAAAGATCATACAGGATTTATACCTGATCTTGACTGATAATATAAGATTTATTGCCTGATCTTGAAAGATCATACAAGATTTAGTTCCTGATCTAGACTGATAATGTAAGATTTAATGCCTGATCTTGAAAGACTATGCAAGATTGAGTTCTTAATCTTGACTGATAAGTCAAGATAATGTAAGATTTATTGCCTGATCTTGAAAGATCATACAAGATTTAGTTCCTGATCTTGACTGATAATGTAAGATTTAGTTCCTGATCTTGATTGATAGCATAAGATTAATCATCTGATCATGTCTGATCATGTACGATTTATCATAAGATCTTGACAAGATTTATCATAAGATCTTGGCAAGAATTTGGAACTTCTTGTCTAATAATCTGGCAAGAACAGGCATGATTAATCATGCATGATCATTTTAAGGTTTCATAAGATCTTAAGTAAGATCTTACGTAAGATTTTTTTCCTGGGTTGCCATGGCTTGTATGTCACATCTATCTGTTTTTACGAGACTGAACAGTGCATAGCAATTATCTGAGGAACGACATCCATGTTCAAAGAACTTCGTTAATTCTTCTTCCTCCTATATGTCTTCCTTCCTCATGTCATCACAAGATTGAGTAGTTAAAAGATCTGATAGTTGTAGCTCCACAGCCACCTCAGGATCAAACAGAGGTGAATTAATATCTTCATCACAATTTTTTGTCTCTTTCTCTTCCTTTTCCTTTCTCTTTCTCTTTTTCTTCCATATCTTATACTGCTTCATAGTCAGTCTCTATCAATTAACAAATACACTGTATAACTAAGTTTAATATAATAATATTGTGCATTTATACTGGTAATGGAATGTCATTGTCGTGATAGCTAACCACTATTCACCGTTAGTACGTACACAGTGTTACGAATAAGTTTACCACTTGTTTCATCACAAAAGTAGTCCCCAAGAACTGAAGCAACGTAGTCACTGTCTCGAGGACCTATTTCTTCATTTAACAAGCGAGCAATGTCTCTTTCTGTAGCCATAGTTGTAAAAGTAGTCTTCTTCGTCTTTGTTATACTTTAAATAGTTGCAATAGAGACTCCATGGTTACCTTTGATGCATTAAAGCCCTCCGTTTTTATTCCGTGGTCGCTCCGTGTAACATTCTCCATGCATAATCAAGGTAAAAATGTCAAAGGGCTTATAACTCAGCAAAGAAGGCTTTGCTACCCCTGCCTTTGGTATCAAATGAAAGGATTTTGTTTATATAACATGTAAATGTGATAAAATGAATTTCGCCCTGGTAAAGATTTTTCGTGATTATGAGCCCATAGCTCAAAATGATAATTTTCGCAGATAGCCTAGTTTCTCTTATCAGGTCACAATATATATATATTACATCAAAACTCTTGTCTTTTAAATGAAAAAATAGACCTTGTTGAAATAGATGAAAGTAATTCACATCTGTGTATCAGAAAATTACAAAGTCTGGATACCTTTGTTTAAACAAATGCTCTCCTTTGAACAAGTCATGTTGTCCTTGAAACAGATCAATGCCAAATGCACTAAAATGGGCTATGTGAAAACTAAGAGACTCCATCCCACGCACTGGAACAACAGAATGATATAATACAGCAACCATGTTGACACGTTTCATGACTTCATTAGGAGTACCATTTCTGCACACTTAAAATGTAAAATATATGAAGCACATACTTTGATAAATTTTTCTCACTTACCCTGTAACGTATGTTGATTCCATAAATCTAATGCTCAATTATTAGTGACACGAACAGCAAGTCATGACACAGTACTTGATCATAGCATCACCCAAAGAAAATAATGCTGTTTCCTCCATATCTATGAGACATGCTTTAATTGGACAGTTCACCCTACTATTAATTTCAATCCATATTCACTCTACTGGATGATTCTAATGTGATACTAAAACAAATGATGTAAAGGCAATATTACATGTATAGGTGGGTTGTAATTCTATTTAACACTATCCTATTTCGTTGTACCAGGCATTAAGGAGGTTGCCATTGAAAAAAATTGAGTATATTATGTAAATCCAAAGTGGTTAGATTACTTAAAACTTACCAAACTTTATTATTAACATTATGATTGTGTAAGTAATTCATTGTTACCATATGTTACTTGTGTGCTCCCTTTCCTATAATTATTGTAAATGTTATTACAATTATTAATGTAAATAATAATTATTATTTTGAAAAATTCTTATTATTATGAATAATTCTTATCATTGTGAATAATTCTTATTATTGTGAATAATTATTAATTATAATACAACATGGACCATTGGAGCCCACGTGAGTCAATCACCTGCATCAGTAATAGCACATGGGAATCTCAGGGTTACAATTAATGAGTTCCTCTAGCTACTTGACTGGCACTGCATTGGCTCCTGCTTTAGTCCCTGGTACAGCCTTAGATAGCGAAAGACAGAAGATTAAGAATGATGGTTACTTTGAAAAGAAGAGAACATAGTTCAGAATTACATGTATCACAAGTCACTAAGGAGAATCTTGGCCGCCAATTTCTAGTCGAACCAGAAGAGGCCTGGCTCAAGGATGAACTCGATGGATCTGCCTATTATGAGAACTAGAGTGTGATCATAAAATAATACTTATGGTTGAGACTGGAAACCCAATACTAACCATTGCATTGAAATTCATTATGGTGAACTTATAATACACAAGCCCTGTAATAATGTTGGGTGACTGATGATGCCCATCACAATATTAAAAAAAATTAATTTTGTCACTATTATGTATTAAAACTAAATAATTATTATAATTGTGTTACTTTTGTAATTAGCCTACTGGATCTACACAAGTATGTATAATGCAATAATAAATTTATATATTTATAATTATTGTTAGCTAAGCGAAGTCATTGTTTCCTGAATATATCAAATGCCGCATGCTTAGATTTTTTCATTTTTGTCTCAACAGGATGTATTAGAATCAGTATGAAGCGGAAAATTTATTCATTTACTTTTAATCAACTCAATGAAAGAATCTACTGATGTCTAATAAAACAATTTGCTTCATTTCATTTCCAAGGACAGGCATAGATTTCTTTATATAATTTTCTATTCCTTCAAGGTAGTGTTATTTCCTGTGCCTACATAAATCGCACAATCTTTAAAATTACCATGTACATGCATTTATTTTTTCTTACAATATGAATCTGCTCTTTTGGCCAAAAGTTAGTCCCGCCAGTATCTAGTTTTTTTTACTAGCAATTGCTCATTGGCAAAAGGACCCTTTTCCGAGTGGGTATAAATGTAACTTATTTTGTCCTAGAATTTGTATAAATTGAATTATTTTGGCCAAACTTACTTCAAATGACTTCACAGTCTCTCTAATAAAACTGCGATCAAATAGTCATCATTTACTATTAATTTTGCATATGGCAAATCAATGTGACATACACAATGTTAACATACCCCTCCAATCTTTCCAGTTTTGAACAATACTTGATGTATGTATTATATCTAAACGGTATCTCAAATATTTCATTTTGATCATTGTTGTTGTCTACAAAGGAAGTTAACCATCATTTATGATTGCTGTCTTCATTCTGTGACACTGCAAACAAGCCAATGAATTGTAAGATCTTACTAATTTTTAAAGCTATCAATTGACTTTGGTGTGATTTCTTCCACAATTTCACTTTAAAAATTTTGATAAACGGCATCATAAACATTTAGAACATACAAATATTTTTAGCACATATTTGTAATTTAATTATCAACATAAGGGGTATATCTTACACTTGAATTGTATTCAAATGTCACCAATTCTCTTTCTGTAATTGCTAACAAAGATACATCCACACCTACAGGTTGAGTCACATGTCTATTAGTTTAAATGTAATTGAGAAAAACTGTCCCAATATAACATCTGAAACTCATGAAACAAGTGACACAAGCCATTGCCTAGCAGATTTAGAATTAGCCTGTAGAACCAAGCAAAGAAGGCATGCATAATGTACTGTAGATGCACATAGTATTACCTCAAAGTTATCTACCGTCTTTAACATTACAAAGGAGAAGAACACAAAAAGCCCAGTTTGGGCTCATTTTGGACTGCGAGCAGATGAAGCCAATCGAGTGACGGAGAACGATACAGAGAGACTTGTTTGTTGTGAGTGCCACAAGATTATTTAGAGAAAGGTGGAAATACTTCTAACTTATTTTTACTTATTTTTTCACTTAAGAGAGCACCATCCTACCTTATTTGCTGGTTTGACTCCTATTATCAGCTATACTAAAGCACATTGAGGAGAAATCACAGGTTCCAGTTTTAGTAACAGTATAAGATAAAATTGGTAATGAAATCATCTCTTACCTGGAGTACCCAAAAGTGAATGCTGAGACAGATCCTTTGGTATGGTGGAAAAGTGAGTAGAGAAGGTTTCCAGCGGCTTCATTTTTAGCTCGGAAGTTCTTATGCATTTGTGGCACTAGTCTTTTAAGTGAACAGATGTTCAGTACATGTGACTACATTGTAAATAATCATAGAAGTTACCTTCATCCAAAGTATGTCAATTACCTGACTTTTTTGTCTAGGAACTTAAAATAGAACTGCCCATTTAACCTATGTATCTCTTAACAAGTTAACATGATCATTGAATTTGATTATTTTGTGTATTAATACAATGATTACATAATCATTAATATTCATAATAATTGTGATAATTATGATAATTTGCTTTGGATAACTGTCAGCAATTTTTGTGATATCGCCCATCTCTACGTTGCATAAAAAAGACACCACAGTCTACCTTCTTCCTTTGCAAGACAACTTCCTAATATTGTAGAGACAAAATATTGTGCACTTGTATAGGAAAAATGATTTTAACCCATACTCTTTTAATGTAATTATAGGTTTAAAAATCAAACATGTCTGCAAGATCAGATGTCACTAGATTTTGTAAATACCCACTCATTAGGCTAAACAAGAAGTACATGCATGTGATTGTTATGAACAGACAAACCTTAATGGCTTTTCAGAAATGACGCATATTCCTGAAGTGAATGATATGAGTTAATTGCCCTCACATGCAGTAGGCGTATAGGCGAGGATACTGCACTTGTGCTGTCAGTATGCATGAGTGTGTTATCAAAAAATTCAATCATGGATGACTCTTGTTCTTTTCCAAGGTGGCAAAAGTCGGCAGCATTTAAGAACAGAAAACGATTACGAGTAACTTTTGCATAGTTGAAGCTATGGTATCTTTGAAGGCAACAACAGGTAAGAAAAACATGGAGAACAAAAATGTATGCATGGTATTGCTTGAGTTTTCTTCATTTATGAGATATTATATACGCGGTAGCGTATATGTAGGGTTGAGGTTGATTTTTCAAGATGGCAACAAAATTTATAGTTTTCAAACGCTAATAACTCTTCTATCTTACCTTGAACAGCCTTGTAAATGGCTAAGATGAGCTCTCCTTCACTGAGCGATTGTCCTGGTATCTTTAAAATGGACTGTAATGCAGTGGGAGCAACTCTGGATAATAGGCCCAAATTCAAAATTCATCAAAATTCTTCTGAGTTTTTTTTCTTTCTTTCATCTTCTATGGCCCCTCTAATCTTTTAATCCAAGAAACTGCTCTAAATGGCCTTCACACCATTCCTCTAGGCGTTGGTCAAGAACAAGAAAGATAGTTTTAGAATCTCGTTTTACTTCTTGGGCAAAACAGAAGTATTAATGGGCGTGATATGACACACTTTTTTAGTCGCCATTTTGAAATATTATTGCGCATGCACAGAGTTGCCATAGTAACTCGTCTGACAACCTCTACCATTCTTCTCTATAGTACAGTACCGCTGAATATTGCTCTATTATTTCTGCCTCTTCTGCTTGCTTGTAAGGAGTGCGCAGAGTACCAGTTATTGTAAGAGCTAATAGGTAAATAAATTAAATAAAAATAATATAGTTCTTTCTGAACTTAGAGTGACTTTTATATTCAGCTGCTCTGTAATTTAAAGATACTTTTGCCAGCTGCACTTGATTTCTAGATAGTACTGTAACACTGTTGGTGGATATAAAAGATAAGTGTTTGTGTTTACAATGATAAACATGAAATTTGCCAGTAGCATGTTTCTTTCATACTTGGTGGTATGGCACTTGTTTGTGGTTTTAGTTCTAAGTGTAATTGTTGCAGTGTTAGTTGCAAAAAGGGAAGTAGAAAAAGGAAGAGTAATTTACCTGGGGCCAAATCAAAAGAAAGAAAATAAAATGTGAAAAAAAACAATTGGAAGGTTTCATGTCCAAAAATAGATCAAATGCCAGAGCATATTACATAAGGCAATGTAACAGGGTGAAAAGCAGAGCCAGAATTGCTTATTAAATCAGTAAAAAGTATGAGCTTGCATATTCAAAGCAGTTACATGCATTGAACCCAGGTTATATATTGGAAAAATGTAAAATTGGTATAACAGAAACAAGGAAAGTAAAGGTCAAAAATCAATTGATTCAGAAATGTTACTATAAGAATCCTGTGCCTAAAAGGTTCAAGGCCTTGGAATATTCACAAATAATAAACCTCTTAAAAAGAAAAATGATGTCTAAGAAAAGGTTTCAACAAAATCCAGGCCCACAAAAATAAAACACTTTGAAAGGATATTACGATAATAGAGACACTATTATGTGCAACAAAAGATAAATTTCTGAGATAAATTTTCTGATAACGAAATGGATAAATTAAAATTGGCACTAAATAAAGAAAATAAGAGGCGGCTAAATAAAGATAACTATGAACGTCATTAAGGACAAATATTGTATACTAATTTCTCACTACCTGCACCAAATAGTGAAGCAAAGGAATATTATTTTATGAAATTTATTGAAGCACTATATTACAGCCCCAAAATAGTTGATGATTTATTGCCATCAAGTATAAAATGTGTAGATTTTGATAACACGTCATATGATAGTAAATGTAATGCTGCATCAAGTATATTACTGGAATTAGTTTTGAAAAACAGATCCCACAAAGTAGGCGTATTGATACGTGCAGCAAATAGTATTAAGAATTTGAAGTTCAATAGCTTTAGTGATCTTGGTAAACAATGTCACACGAAGAATAGTGAGCCTTATTTTTATAAATCAGCTTTATATCCTAATGATGATCCTGATAGCCAATCAGATAGACCAATTGCAATCCCTGTTGATACAAATGGCATCTGTTATGTAGCAGGGAGTGTTGATGTATCATGTATTGACAGAGCAGAAGAATATAATGATAATAGTGACTCTGAAGATTACAATTTTGATAATAATTCAATGTATACTAATAAGAGAAAGCCAACCCTCAAATGGCACTGTACAGACAGGTGCAAGCCTTTATTAGAAAGTAACGTTAGTTCTATTATTGAAGTTAGATGTTATTTTGATGAACCCATTAAAGAATTGAGGAAGCATTTAGATGCATGTGATAATTGTCCTAATACTTGTAGTGAGCTGACTCATCATTACATAAGAACTCATGAATTATTCATTGATATATTGTCTATATAAATGCGTGTTGTGTAATAATAATTTCCAGTGTTTGGGTGTCAACAAAACGAGACTTAACATGAGCGCTAACCCTCACTCTCGCTACCAGATTTGCATCGTAGAACCACATATTTCTACATTGGTGACCTGGACGGCCCTGGCGACTCACTGCTTGGGGTTTATCTTTCTCTTACACGCAGTCTGGCTACTAACAGCAGCAATTGGACGTGTACTGCCACGAGGCTCAGTTGTTTCACACACTCCAGCTCTTACTTTACACTCTGACAACTCACCGTCGATCATTTTCACTCTGTTTCACTCTTTTACAGCTATTATCTTTTTTTCTCACCCACGGACCCACTGATAATCGACTCCAACAAGTTGTGAAATACTCCGCAACATGCTGTTACTCTCTACACTCTACTGTGCTTTCATTTTCAGATGACTACTGTCAGTTTTCATACTCTCAGCAGCATCGCAATCTCTTGCCTTCTCTCATTGGTACTACGACGTCTCTGTTAAGGTCACCTTTAACTTTGCAGGTGTATCTTGTGGTTAACAGGGCAGTCTCAGTTTTAACCACAGTATTGACACAGTTAACATCTTTCCGGTATCTCACTCCTTCCTGAGTTCTCATACCCTACTCTTTCACTTTCTCATTCTCCTAATTGCTCTTTCTTCCTCAGACACTGTTTGTCCAAAGACTGACAGTACTTGTTTGGATACCAACATTACTTGTTCGGAGACC